TCTATTTTTATTTTTTTTTTTTCTCACATAGCTTAATGTGACTTATCTTAGAACGTGGACAAAAAAAATATAGAAGGAAATTTTATCAGGGCAACACAGTGGCTAAATGGTTAGCACGTCCGCCTGGCATTACTAGGGTCATTGGTTCAAATCCCAACCATGGCACCACCTGCCTGGAATTTGCATGTTCTCCCTGTACCTGTGTGGGTTTTCCCTGGGTACTTCGGTTTCCTCCCACACTCTGGAGACATGCGAGTAGGTTAATTAGATCCTGTCTAAACTGGCCCTGGTATAAGTATGTATAAATGTAAGTTAGGAACGTTAGATTGTATGCCCTTTTGAGGGTTGGGGACTGATGTGAATGTATAATATATATGTAAAGCGCTGTTTAAAATGACGGCGCTATATAAGTACCTGTAATAAATAATATCTTAGTGAGAAGAAGGTGTCTGCGCTCTGTATTCTTTATTTCAAAACCGCATATGCACAGGAATGTTGACACGTTTCACATAGTAAAGTGCTTGATCACATCAAGGAGGGGTTGTTCGGATTTAAAAAAAAAAAAAAAAAAAAGTGGCTGTTCGCTGATTTTAAAAAAAAAAAACATATGTAGCAATAGTCAAAGCAAGACAAACAAGTACAAAAAATATAAAGGATAAATATCACAAAACAAAATATTTTGTTAAAAACCAATAAATCTTAGATCCATAAACTAAGTAAAAACAACCAGATGCATCTGTAATTAATACTAAATCGCCAGCCATGCAGGAGGAAGGAAAATCTGCTAGTCACTCATAAAAATGAATGACATCCCACTCAAAATTGAGACCCACGAGAAAGCGGGTTTGGAGATGGAAAATCCAAAAAAACTCTCCTGCACAGATTCCCTCCTCTTGGGAGTAGGTACCTTTTTCAAGTATTTAGACAAGAGGCTGCTGACAAATCTCCCACATGGCAGTCGTTGAAGTAGTGCGCCATATTAGTGGACTGGCACTTCTCAATGCTATAAAGCGGCTCCTGGAAAAGAGATCTCGAAGACGTCTGATCATCCTTCCCATATACTGGACCCAAAACACTCCACAAGTGATCAAATAAATTACGTCACAAGTATTGCAGTTGAAAAAAAAATTTAATTTTAAAAACATTTTCTTCCACTTGTAGAGAGGGGAAAAACCGCACGTACCCGCTGAAAGGAGAGAGACCTCTGTTGTTTACATTTCAGTCTCCTGTCAGCTGATCGCTGGGTCCCTGGAGAGGCTTCCTAAACAAATCCGTGATATCCTTGCCCAATTCACCAATCGGCTGAACGTCCAAAAAACAAATGTTTGTCCATATGACCGGTGAAACATAGATTCGTGTCATTTATCATTTGGAAAGCCAAGAACGGGATCCAAATCGCCAAAATTCTTGACAACGATCAGTCTATGTACTGCAAATTATATAATGTGTGATTTGTAAGGCTAGTTCCCACCAACCCATGTAAAGGTTGGCGAGTGAGGACGAAAACTTGGCTCCATCGCTGCACCGCATCTCTGGAGATAAAACTATCAAAAATAAAGAAATTCTGTGTTAAATACTTAGAGTGCTGTCTATATATTTTAGAAGCGCTTATCAAAAAATGAATGTATTGCTGTAAATAAAGACACTGCTCTGATTGCCCAAGTGGTGGGGTATACAGGAATATACACTGGCTACGTCACAGATTAATCCATGTATAGCCATCCTCCCAACATACTGTATATCCCTTTATAAAATGTAAAATATGATTAGTGTCCTTTTAAAGAAACCTGGGAGCTGGGTAACTATTGGTTGAAGGTGTTGGTCCAACCTCACTGGGGGAAACGATACCTGCAACAATAGGTCTACCATATAAAGGACTTAATCTTTTTATGAGTTTAAGGGAGATGATGGAATGTAAGATGTTCAGGAATCAAAATCTCACCCTCTTTAGTAGTGTACACACCCAGATTAACTCTCCTATTCATGAATCTAGCTAAAGTATTCCTAAATTTCTTGGTAGGGCCACCGCTATATTTAGTATAGGTAGTATTGTCCTCGAGTTGTCATTGCTTCCTGTCAATAGGCATCTGTATTCATAACCACAACTAAACCGTCCTTGTCAGAGTTGTGAATAGTGATGGATGAAATGCGCTCTAAGTTCTTAACTGTTATACTTAAGTAGGGGTTGTGTCAATTTGTCTCAGCTAGAAGGGGATTGGTTTTCCACCCTTTTTATCAGCGAGTAGACCCCTGACTCCTTGTTGTGATCAAGCACTTTACTGTGAGAAACATTTCTGTGTACTTGTGCTATTATCTTATCAGTTTTTTTTGCAATAAAGACATTTATTTGGCATCCTGCTTTGGAGCGAGGCCACCTTCTTCTCTCTCTGGATGTTTGCAGTAGGTTGCCAGGCTAGAACCTGTTTGTGGCATTGGCTTTCTGTATTTAGCTGGAGCGGTGTCGCTCTTCACATTTGTAGAATATTTTATTATTGTAGTTAGGAATCCTTATGTTTTTGGAAAAATACTTTAAATCAATAACTTCCTTTAAATATGAAGCGATCAGGAATATATAATTTTTTTTTTCTCTCTTAAACACACTATGGGGTGGTTGTTGTTTTTTGTTGTTCCTCCAACAGTTTGCTCAGCTCTTTACAATATAAAGAGAGACAATATAGCAATGATACAGTTCGATACAAGAGGGTTAGGAGGGTCCTGCTCCATGGAGCCTACAATCTAAGAGGGAGGGGATGGCGGTACAAAAGGTAATAGTTGTGGGAGATGAACTGATAGCAGATGCTGTGATTAGTTGAAGGCAGGATAGGTTTTCAGAGATTCCCTAAAAATGGACAGAGTAGGAGATATTCAAATTGGGGTAGAGCATTCCAGAGGATGAGGGAGGCTCTAGAGAAGCTCTGGATATGAGCATGGGAGCAGGAGACAAGGGAACTAGAGAGCAGGAGGTCATAAAAGGAGCGGAGAGGACAGTTTGGGTGATATTTGGGGACAAGATTGGTGATATATTTTGGGTCACAGTTATAAATGGCTTTATGTTTTTAATTAATATTCTGAATTTTTTTTGTTGAGCAATAGGAAGCCACTGAAGGGATTGGCAGAAAGGGGTGGCAGACATGGAATGGTTGGTAAGGTGGATGAGTCTGGCAGCATCATTCGTGATGGACTGAAGAGGAGATAGCCTGCGATTTAGGTAGGCCAATGAGGAGGGAGTTACAATAGTCAAGGCGAGAGATAACAAGGGAGGGAATAAGTTACTTAGTAGTTTCAGAGGTTAAGAATGGGCGTATCTTGGAGATGTTACAGAGGTGAAGTTTACAAGATTTGGACAGTGATTGGATTTGGGGCTGAAAGGACAGATGAAAGTCTAGGATTAAACTTCGTACCCTGGCATGAGGGGAGTGACTGATGGTTGTATTATTGATCTTGTTGGAGAAGTCAGGGGAGGGGGCACGGGCTTGAGGGAATATTATGAGCTCAGTGTTAGAAAGATTGAGTTTGAAAAAGTGGAGTAACATCCATGCCGATATGTCGCTTAGTAGGTTAGCAAGGCGAGAGGAGACTGAAGGGTGAGGAGTAGAAAGATTTGTGTATCATCAGCATAGAGATGGTACTTAAAGCCATGGGAGTTTTATCAAGTGACCAAGGGAGGAGGTGTAGATGGAGAATAGAAGGGGTCCAAGGACAGAACTTTGAGGGACCCCTACAGAAAGAAGTGGAGAGGAGGAGACAGTTGTTGTTTTTTTTTTTTTTTTAATAGGTAACCCTGAAGGAGCAATAGGTAGGAAGAGAACCAGGAGAGAGCAGAGTCTGAGGCTGAGAGTGGAGTTTTATGAGGAGGAGGGGATGGTCAGCAGTACGAAAAGCCACAGAGAGGTCCAGTTAGTAAGAGTATGGAGTAGGGGCCATTGGTTTTAGCAGTTGGTAAATCATTGTACAAGAAGTGGTAAAAAAAGCGCCTTAGTAAAAGTCAACAAGCTACTATGCACAAGATAGGTACCAATGACCTATGGAATAGACAATATATGTTGAAGGTGCAGCGCTTATAAACAATATATATGCAAAAGTCCCTGGTGGATCAAATAATAAAGGATATGGGGTAGTCCCGTAAAACAAGTAAATATAAATAGTTGAGGTGACTTTGATATCCGTGTAGAGGTGGTAATGAAATGCGCACTCACCGGACGCGCATAATAAATGCGCCTTGTGTATAAATCATTAGTGAGTTTTAGTAGGGCAGTTTCAGTGGAGTGGGTGAAAGCTAGACTGTGTAAAGGGTCAAAAAGGTTGTTAGTGAGGTAGGAGCTCAGGCGATTGTAGACTAGGCATTCTAAGAGTTTAGATGTAAACAGGAGCAGGGAGATGGGTCTTGCATTCAGGTTGGTGGGGTCCAGTGAGGGCCTTTTAAGTAGGTGAGTGATCTGCGCATGCTTTAGCGAGGAGGGCAAAGTGCTAGAGAGGGAGAGATTGAAGATGTGAGTGAGGGAGCATAGGACAGAAGAAGAGGGTGACCGTGTTGATTTATTTAAAGGCAAAGAGACTGTTGACTTTGTAAGGGAAGTTGCACTTTGCAAAGAAAATTTCCCCAGAGCTTAGTGAATGTGATAAAGATCTGCTGACTCCTATCCAATCATGTGCAAACAAAATGCTGTTTTTTATTTTTCTTGTACATTATTCGGTATTCTTGGCAAAGTGAAACTTCACTACATTCGCTAAGCTTTAGGGAAAATTCCTTTGTACTGTATGTTTTCAATAACTGATGAAAATGAACAATAGACTGAATCTAAAATTGTTCATCTTTTAAATCCTACATATTTTTCTCTTGTACACTTATACACCCAGAACTGCAATACTTGTCCTGTTATAATATGACCCACTGAAAACAGAGGAAATCATATTTTTAATTTTTTTTTTTTTCTTTTTCTTCAGACAAGCTGTTGGTTTTAACTGTTGCAACACAAGAAACAGATGGCTTCCTTCGATTCATGCAATCTGCTAAGTACTTTAACTACAGTGTCAAGGTATGTATTTTCTATCGAATTTTACTTATGCCTGAACATATGAGTTCTCTAAAGGTTTTATACTGGAATCGCAAACATTACTCAGTATTCCATCTGCATGACTTCGTGTTTCCCAAGGTTTACTGATCTCCTAATAGTTTTTCAGAACCTACTGATGTAAGCACATTCTATTGCTATTTTAGATATAATTGCTCATATCCGCTATAAAGGCACCCATTACCTAATGTCAAGACAACTTTCCATATCTAATGCTGCCTTACCAATTTAAATAATTATACAGGATTTATATAGCACCAACATTTTGTACGCAGTTTACAAAGAAAAGGAGACCGTATAGTTGCAAGTCATTTACAAGAGGTTTTTGAGGGTCCTGATTACAAAAGCTTATGGGGAGGGGTAAGTGATACTAAAGGTAATAAATGTGAGGGATGAGTTGGCGCAGCAAGTGAGTAGATATTTGCTTTAGGAGTTTTCATCAGTGACCTAAAGCAATATAATGTTATAACAGGAAAGTACGGTATACTGTGTTACTTTAGATACTTTTAAAGAAGTATATTTACAGTGTGTTTGTTTTTAAAAATGAGTGAGCCAAGCTCTAAGGCAAATTCCCTTGCAATGTTCAACTTCCCTTGCAAAGTGAACAACCTATTTGCCTTCAGGAAAGTAGCCCTATATGTTTTTAGTAACTGATTATGATGCATCGGCAGTAAACATTGGCTATGTCGCTGAAGAAATGTCAGGCACCTTCAAATTATCCGCAGTCATGCTGATGTATATTTTTTTTAAGAGTTTTGGGTGCTCGTAAACCCCAGGTACTCATATATGCACATACCAGTTTTAACAAGGAGCAGGCACATTTCAAATCAATATGATGGGCAGCCTATTAACCATTTAGGAGGCATGGGAGGTACATTGTAAAAGGGATACGGCCAAAATAAATGTGTATTTTAAAGCAGCTTGGGTCTATGGGGTTGTCTGGGTCTTGTAGAGTTACATTTACAAAATGTGTATGCTATTGCTTCTCAGTTGCAAATAAGTTTATGCTGCTATATATTTGCTTTAAGCTGTGAAGCATGTATTTTGGCATTAAAAAGTAGCTGTGACACTTAAGCATGAAAAAACAAGCAATGGTAAACTTTTTTTGCTTAAGTTTCGTTCCTATGCCATGATCAAGTCATAATGGTATGTTTTATCTGCAGATGATGTTTTTGACTCCTAGTAAAGGGGTAGGATGTGGAAAGGGTGTCTTGACTCTTATAACCAGATGTAGTGAAGTTTTACACTGAGAAGAGTTTTTTAAAGGATAAGTTCACCTTTTGGAACATGTTACGTGTTCCACCCATATTTAGGGTTGAACATGTAACATATTCCAGTTTCTTCTGCCTTTCCTTCGATCTCCCTCCTCTCTGTGACAGCAGGCAGGGGATCTTCTACCCGAACACGGTGTCACAATTTAAAAACAGAGCGGTCTAGTGGGGCTCTGCCCATGCAGCCGCGTCATTCATTCATTTGTTCCTGTGAATGCCCACAAGTATTATCATCCATTGCAGCTGATGGCTTGTGTGACGGGAGTCACTTTGGGTGGGGGGCCCATGGAACCTAGCTCACTTTGGAGAGGTGGGGAGACCCCTGTCTCAGCTCCCCATATCCCTCTTATGTGTAAATTACCTTGTGCCTGTTAGGGGTACAGGGTGATCTGTCCTAATATTGTGTGGGCTTTGTCTCAGACTGTGTAGACATGTTTAGGAGTTAGGTGGGGTGGGAATTTTTGATTGTTTAATGTTATGTGGCTGCATCCCATTGTTCGATTTTGGCTTGGGAGCAAACTATTATGGGATGTATGTGTTTGTGTATTAGATTAGTGGGGGGGTGTCTCCAGCAGCCCTCCCTCCTAATGAGACTGTCTGCTGGTGTGAAGTTTGAATACCTGTGTCTTTTGTTACTAAATGTAGATTGCCCCGCCCTGTGTCAATATACAGGGAGGGGGGATTGTCCCCTGAGTGTATATATCTTGTATCTGTGTTCAAATAAAGTAATCTACCTCCTGGTTTACTTCAAGACTGGTGTCGTTTAGTCTTGTATGGTTGGCTGTGGTGTCTGTGGTCGGTGTTCGGACGGGGAAGCGGTATGCTAACGGAAATACTCAGGCACAGTCTGGGTCAGTTATGTTACAGCTTGTAGTTCTTAATGAACTGCAAGGGGATGGTGAGCGCTTTCGCAGTCCATTGATTCTTCCTTCCATTTAGTAACTGCCTGCCCATACACAGAATGGACAGACAGCTTACTGGGTGTCTGCAGGATACAGGCATTGCACCTGTGATCTGCTGATTTGTAGGTGCAATGTCTTACAGACTGCAATGTAAAAAAAGTAATAAATGCATGTTGTTTTACCTGCAAAAAGCTGTGCATGCATTTTTTTTTTTTTTTGTGTGTGTGTAAAAGGTGAACTTATCCTTCTTTTTAATTGGGTAATGCATTTCAAAACTGTGATTGCTTTGAAGAAAAAAAAAAAACTATTGCCTTTACTGTTTTACCCAAAATTCTCAGAATCAAAATAATTTGTGGTTTATAGTATATGGCTCATTTGGTGAGCAACTATAATCTGTTTACATTTGGTAGTAAAAACTTGGTGTAACCAAGCACTTCTGAACTGGCGTTCTGATGGGTCTGGTACGCTATATGGCAAAACACGTGTGCACTGCTCCAGTGCTGATTGTATGCCAGGTTCGGCCTTTTTGGCTTAATAGGACAGTCAAAACCTTTGTGAGAAATGAAAACCGACTGCTAGAACTTCAAAAATATAGAGGGTGAGGTTGGGGGCGGGTGGTGCCCATGGTTCTTGATGGTGTGCCCCAACAAGTTCATATCGGTGTGATAGTTAAGTTTCCACAAACGTGTGTGTGTTATATTATTGGCAAATCTAAATGAACAGGCAAAAGTCAGTTTAATATCCTAAAGTACATAGTATATGTTAATTAGAGATTCCCTCTGATTCCTCCCGTATTGATCTGGATTGTAACTGTACGGTCTGCCCTTATGTTGTAAAGCACTGTTCAAAATGTTGGTGCTATATAAATCCTGTATAATTTAATAATAGTATTTTATAGATACATATACAAAAGTTCCTAAAGCTTATTAGAGAAGTCTGATAATATGCAGGCGATAATTTGGAGATTTTGTTTTTTTTTTTAAACTTTTAATTGGTTCCCTAGTCAGGTTAACAATTCATTTCTTCCGGGGCTTAAAATACGTAGAGCATTTATTAAAGATGGGTTAAATTTTAATTGACCAGGGCTGTTTACTCATCTGAAAATGCTATTTGGATTGGACATGTAGCCTAAATAACGTCTGAAAACAATATCGTAATAATGTGTGCCAACAATGAGGATGAAGACACTGGGTCTTGTATGTTAGTGTGTCTATACTAAAAATTGTTGTGATCTCCCCACGACCAAAATGGATTTGTTTTTTTATGGTACCCAGTGAAATCAGATGACAATCATTTTGCAATTTCCTGCACATGCTGCTAACTTCTATTGGGTGAAAAGAGTGATCAGAAGACCTGTTCAATCATTACTGTGCCCCCCCCCCCATCCCAGTAAAGCTGGTGATAGATGGATTGATATTTTTGTCTGGTTCGCCAGGGACTGGCCAAATTTTATTCCATTTATAGCCATTCCTGTTTGCAGAAGTTGATTGTTAGATTGACTTTTGTCGAACGGGAATAATTGGAAACCTTTGTTCTTTGGCTGAAGCTGCTGATCAGTGCATCTCGATTAGCAGAGAGTCCCAGCAGGGGGATTTGTTAATTTTGTTTTGCTTAGCCCTCTGGCTGAAAAAAAAAAAAATCTTTGGCCAACCTAAGCCTCTCATTGTCTCTCTTCTTGGCTCCCTTTCCTTTCCTCCCCTGAAAAGCTTAAAGTCAATATGAATTGTAGCAATTAATACCTCATGTTTTCTTCCCTTTTGGTCTGAAAAATATACGATGCATGCAGAAAATCATTCTGCTGAAAATCTATTGAGCTTTCAACTTCACCCCAACCCCCCCCGGCCACACACATGCGCGGATTCAAATATGGAAGAATGGGAATGCATTCCAACTTGTTTTCATTAAAGTTTTTCTCTTCTGTAATGTAAAGTTTTAATTCTCTGCTACTAATTATTCTCCCCATAGGAAAAATAGAAATCAAACATAAAATATCTAATCTTGTGGCAGTGGAGCAAAAGTGATGATCAGCATGTAGTCAAATCAAGAAGCCATAATACAAGAATAATTTTGGAAAGCCATAAACTGCATTTTTTTGTTATTCATTGCCCACAATTCCACTTTTTTTTTTAGCCTACTTCCGAACACCAATACTTTATAGTCTGTTAGCCCTAGTGAAGCTTGGATATGCCTTTTTCTTTATGTATGTTTGAAACTTGGTTACAGGTATGAATTGTTTCTAATTATTCACAAATATATGTATGGCAGAACATAGAAAGTTCCTTGAAGAGTCTCCCTTTCAGAAAGTACAAAATAGACCAGAGTAAAAAATCACCTGGTTAATATCTGTAAACTGTACTTTTAAAATCTTGTTTATCGGTGAACATTTGCTTGAAAACACATATTCCATTAGCATAAACCTTTGTACTTCTTGATATGCCTCAGATATAACATTTAAGTACTGAAAATCCAAAATGTGTTTTTAATCGTGGCCTGGCCTTAAAACACCCTATGATCTTTTATATTTTGAAAAAAAAAAATGATATCAACTTATACATGTGTTTTTTTGATCTTTTTCTAGGTTCTAGGCACAGGACTAGACTGGAAAGGAGGAGATGTAACAAATTCAATAGGAGGAGGCCAGAAAGTTCGTCTGTTAAAGGAGGCATTGGAAAACCTAAGTGACCAGAAGGACCTTATAGTTCTTTTTACAGACAGGTAACGTTTTTACATGTTTTAAATAAGTTTTATTTATGTACACTAAATTTGTATATATTAAATTGTATTCTTTTAAAAGGGACAGTTCTTAAAATGTAGTGTGGTTTTTTTTTTTTTTTTTTTTTTTTTTTTCTTTTGGCTGAGGGATGTACTTTTATATCTCTCTTAAATCTACAGTATCAGATAATGCAGTTGCCCGCTATATTCTGTTGAAAATAAACCAATGACACAAGTTTCTGCTTTCAAATAACGTATCTACTACAGTTGTTAAACTTTTTTCAGTAGTTTAATAACCCGGTATCCTGTTTTTATTTACCAGCGTTATTTTTACCTTTTTTTTTGGAAGAAAGGAAAGATAATTTGTACAGGGGTTATATCTGTGTTCTCAGTGTGAAAAGGGGTATCCCCTTAACTTACTAACCACTGAGCAGTTGTGTGGTCCAATCATTATATTACAAACATCCAGGTTTTGATTTTTGTGTTTTTTTTTGTTTTTTTTTCAATATGACAAAGAGCTATAATTACCTTGGTTTGTAAAGGTTTGTTGTCTTATTCATCTCTCTAGATGAGAACATCTGCCAACATATATCTAAATCAGTTGATAGTACTGAAGATTTCCCATCCAGTAACAGAAGGTATACCTGTGGTCATTTGACTACTCTGTAGAGAAAAAAAAAAAAAAATCCCAATGAAATTGAACAATACAGCATTTACCAATTCCTTCTAAACCAATTTTCACCAAGTACACAAAATGCTTTGGATAACTATTGTTGATTAGGTTTGCATGAGTGCTTGATGCTCACAAAAGCACAACATACGGCATTTTTGTGTTGATCACAAACAGCACTGTTAGGCCTAGTTTACGCTTGTGGTCAGGGCAGCTGTAAAAATCAATGATTGAGCAATGTTTTTCTGCATGGAGAATGTATCCCATTCATCTTTATATGGGTGCCCCACAACTGCATGCATCGTGATCGTATAACTATTTTATTTATTTTTTAAACAATGAAATTGAACAATACAGCATAACATTTAATTTTTCTGCCCGCTGAATGTAAACCATGCAACTGAATGGGGGTGTCCTGCAGCCGCCCCTCAACTGCTTGCTATTTTATATGGCTGTCTCATGCTGTTATGGGGTTTGAAAGGCTAAAATGGGCAGTGAGGAGATGATCTAATGCCTGCTCACCGTCCTCCAATGCAAGTGCAAACACAGCGCACATACCAATTTCTATCTGCTCCAACCTGAATAATTCTTATTCTTTTCACTTTCACCTGTATGTATCTTAATGTGATGCCAAAAGGGGAAACAGACTCATAAACTGAAAGGCAAGCTTTGTCTTGGGACTTTATAATGCTATTTTCATAGCGGTCACACTCATGTGGTGTGGTTGCAGTTTTGTTAATTATAGTTTGGAGTAAACATTTGGGTTGTACTTGTTCTGGGAACTCATTGGAAATTCATGTTCCATTTTTCCTAATTAAAACCTAAGAAATAAAATTGTTGCATTTTAGTTCTAAAAATACATTTGTGTCGTGGAAACAAAGTAAAATACATTATAATATACTACAAATGCCAAAAGGTATTTAGTGTAAATGAACACTATTACAAAGTCTGTGAAATTTTTACTTCCAGAACAATGTAAAAGGCTTGTCACATAGTTTCCACATGCTTCCCAGACCACTATGAGAAATTATTATATTATACAGGATTTATATAGCGCCAACAGTTTGCTCAGCTCTTTACAATATAACGGGAGACAATACAGCAGCAATACAGTTCAATACAAGAGGGATTTGAGGGCCCTGCTCCTTGGTGCTTACAATCTAGGAGGGAGCGGCTAGTGGTACAAAAGGTAGTAACTGTGGGGGATGGACTGGTTGAAAGAGTAGAAGATTCCATTATTAGCTGAGGGCAGGATAGGCTCCCTGAAGAGAGAGGTTTTTAGAGAGAGCCTAAAAAGTGAGCAGAGTAGGCGATAGTCTGATAAATTGGGGTAGAGAGAGTTCCAGAGGATGGGGGAAGCTCTGGAGAAGTCGTGGAGATGAGCATGGGAGGAGGAGACCAGGGAGCTAGAGAGTAGGAGGTCTTGCGAGGAGCGGAGAGTACGGTTTGGGTGATATTTAGAGACCAGATCAGTGATGTAATTTGGGGCAGAGTTATAAATGGCTTTATATGTTCTTGTTGGTGTTTTTGAATTTTATCCGTTTGGGCAACGGGAAGCCAGTGGAGGGACTGGCAGAGAGGGGTGGCAGATACAGAACAGTTAGTAAGGTGGATGAGTCTGGCAGCAACATTCATGATGGACTGAAGAAATAACAAGGTTTTCTGGGTATAGGGGGAGCATGTGACTTTGTTTCCCAGAGTGCATTGCTGAATACCTGAAGAGGCAATCACCAGACTTGAGTGATGTCACATAGGGGCAGGAAGGGTACTTGGCCCCTGTGAATGGTATGACTCAGACCTGCCCTTAGAATTACAAGAAAGTATAAGGTACATAGCAGCATGAGAGGTGGACTAGGCAGTTTGCTTTTTACTTTACACTGAATTGGCAGGTTCACATAAGTGTGCTGGAATCTAAGTGGTGAATATTGTATATTTGAACAAAAGGGTGTTTCATTTTTTTACTTATTAAATGGGTGTACTGTATGTCACATGGGTGCGCTTACTGTCTCAGTGCTAAATGTAGCAGATGTGTTTGATTAAGATTTATCAGTTTTATCATTTTCAAAACATCTGATCTATTTGAAAAATGTCTTTAGGTCTAATGCATAATCTGCAAAGAGTACAGATTTGGCAGATTATTTTATGGGACCTACAGATATTGGCACTCAATGTTGACCTCCTGGTCGACTCATGACAGTGCAGCAGTCATGCTTGGGTAATTTAAACTGAGCAAAGGAAATGGAGAATTATTTTCTGGAAAACCAATCAATTTAACTGATCCTCTCTACTAATGACATTGTTTTTAGATATGTTCCGTGAAACAGGGATATGATCTCAGTCACGGATTGTTGAAAAGTATGATAAATGGGAGATGTACGATTGGTTACTAAAATTAATTTTTAATTTGCTGTTAAATTTGGAAAGCCCATTTTTTTACCATCTACTTTTTTTTGTATCACATTTGTCCAATGTTCTTTACATTTGCATGCATTGTTTAACTTTCTCTTAGTGTACTTTTTACAGTCCTGGAGCGGTTGTCATATTTACAGATTCTTTGCCCTGATAAATGGCATTATTAAAATATATTATTGGCAATGGTTAGGTTGAGAGTTTTTTTTTCTCCTACTAGCTACTGAGCATTTTTCAGTCAGTGTAAGTAAAGAAAAATGTCCACCAGACTGGTGTTAAGTAGGAGATAAAATGTCCTGACATCAGTGTTTTGAAGGGAGGTAAAATGCTTAAACAGTAAAAGGAAAAAAAAAAAACGTTAGTGGGCTAAAGGAAAGCAATCGTGGACTGTGGATAATTGGATGAGAAGTGATATTCAGTGATGAATCACAAATCTGCATTAGGCAGGGGTGATAATGCTGGAACTTTTTGTTTGGTGCCGTTCCAATGAAATGTATAAAGACGACTGCCTGAAGAAAACATGCAAATTTCCACAATCCATTGGTTATCTATGGTTGCATGTCAGGTGGGGGTACAGGGGAGATGACCGTCAATACATTTTTCAATAAATGCACAAGTTTATATTGAGATTTTGAACACTTTTCTTATTCAATCAATTGAAATGATGTTTGGTGATTATATATTTTTTCGGAATGATAATGCATCTTGCCATAGGGAAAAGCCGTGAAAACATTTCAAGAAAGACATATGTCAATGGCATGGCCTGCAAATAGTCCGGACCTCAATCCAATTGAAAATCTATCTTGAAAATGAAAACGGTCCATGACAAGGCTCCAACCTTCAAGGCTGATCTGGCAACTGCAATAAGAGAAAGTTGGAGCCAGATTGATGAAGAATACGGTTTGTCAATAGTTAAATCCTTGCCTCCCGAGAGTTCAAGCTGTCACAAAAGCCAGCAGGGATGCAACAAAGTACTAGTGTACTATAGTGTTTTTTTTTTTTTTCATGATTTCATAATATATTCCTCAGAATTGAGTGTTTCCATTTTTTTTTTTCCTCTGCTTGATGTGCAAAAACAGTTGCAACTGACTACAGTATTTTCTTTCTTTTTTTTATTTAAGTGTTTCTTGAAGCCAGAATGTAGGAATGCTAAATGAAAGTAAGTTTGAGGCATGTCTGATTATTATTATAATTTTTTTTTCTACACAAACAATTGAACATTATCCAAGAGTGGTGATTCCATACTTTTTTTTTTTTTTTGGCAGGGGTTGTATAACAAGTGGAGTTTTTTCACACTATAGGTCCAGTTAAATACCTTGCATACCTTGCAAGGATCCAGGTTTTTAAAACAAGTGAGTTATTTTTAGCTACAACCAATGAAATTTAGAAAATGACAGTCAGTTGCATGTTTGAAATTATAAATCCTTATCTTTTGGGTTACTCGAAGTACTGTCTTGTGTATGGGGGGGAAAAAAGCACTCAGGAGTTTTGGTAATAATTCAGTTAATCATTTTAATGAGCAGTAGAAGTAAAGCAAAACACAGGTCTTTCAACAATGCCTGAACAAACTGTGCTCTGTTAAAGTAATTTTGAAGTAATTGTAGGATGCATATAAATCTTTTATTGAATGCTTTATAACCCACGTGTCTGTAGACCGTTGAACAATGCCCTTTACATAAACAGCTCCTGTGTTACAAAGACATCGAGATGAAGGCAGGTACAGCACCATTGCTGGACTACGAGAGAACTGTTTTTAGTGTTTTAATTCATTCAAGGCTGCCTCGCGGCGGCAAACAGAACTTCTTCTTGTTATTAGACTTTTCTTGTCAGCCTCCAGGAAGCCAAATTAACTAGCTTGTAAGGAAAAATATCCACCTGTATTGAGCTGGGCGTTCAAAATATGTCTAATCATAATCCGAAGTTA